AACCTATTGCAATAAAACGGCAATTTCATACTTTAACCCCTAATATAATGTTTTTCATCAAATTAGCGAGGAAATAAATACAATGTTTATTTCTTGTATGAATAAATATGGTTCACAACACAAGAATGTTATGGATTATGCAAATGGCGATTTTTTTTTATCAACAGATGGCAAGCTAGCTATTCTTCCGTAGATAACGAATCTCGAACTAAAAAATTGTAATAAGCAAAAACCCACAGCCATGATGGATTATAAATGGAAAAAAAATTTTTGTACAGAAAATAATTAAAATAAATTCTAAGAAATTCTTAACTTAACAATAAGTATTTAAGCATTGAATTGCAATTAAATAAAAGTAAATATTTAAATTGTTTCTGAAAATTTATAATTTACTTTGTGGTACAATAAAGTGTTTAAATAATAAATAAAACAAATAAATTTCTGTTTGGATGACATTTAAAGCGCATGTTTTAATTTAGAACTTAAGTAACCTCCTTGGTTGAACTTGAACCTGACCTATGTAAGGCAGTACCTATGTCATGCTGTAAATAGGCCAATTCTCAAGTAATTTTTGACTCAATCAGTGATGAGGGATTTCCCTCAATGTTTCCGTTTAGGGCTATAAATATCGACATATTTATTTTTTCAAAACATACAAGTTACGGATATGTGTTATTATTCCAAGCGTATAAGGTTAAATCACAAATTTAAATGTGATTGTCATGGACACATACCAGTCATGCAGTTGAATTGGGTAGTTACCTCATTACAATTCCTAATATTTACCTCTAACTTATCGGTAAATATTATATCATTGTTGACAGCTTTTACGTACTACCTCCCGTTCCGTTACGATCTGCCATCAAGAAAATTAAATAATGTAGATATTAAATAGTCTTTTATACATTTCACAATTCTCCAAATACGTAACAGAATAACGTTTTTGACATTCTGAAAACATTGGTTTATACTTAACACGTTCAGCGCCACGTGTATACCTTGATATACACCCAATGTTTTTGTCCCAGGCCAGGTGTCCCTGGCTATACACAGGTAAGGCTTGCCTCTTTAGGCCGACGTATCTCAGTATATTATACATAGTTTCAAACATTTTGTATGAGAGCCTTTGAAAGCCCTGGCCCTCACGAATCGTTCAGTGTTTTTGGGTATAATAATATCAATGATAGTTTTGAAGTTACGGTTCAATAAAGACAAAATTATAAATATATTGTTTCAATTGCCTTTTTTTAATTGCTCAATTAATTTATTAAAGGAGATCTGATTTAGTACAATATACTTAACTTATAAATTATTATTTTGTTTACTCATTCATTATTTAGTGCTTATATTTATTAGAAATATTTTACCTACATTTAGCTAAATGTATGAAAAAAGCTCCCTGGCCAAGGTATCCTGCCTGATACAATTGAAAAAAAATTAATAATGGGGCACAAGGGAAGGAGGGTTCATAATATTAATTCCACACACTAAATTAATACCAATACAAACTAGGTATATAAGTAAAAGAAAACTTATTCCCACGGTTTTTGCCTTGGAGGTCCTTAGCGCACAACGTGTTAATGTGACCATACGTCCGCGCGTTTACAATTTAAAAAACTATGATGAAAGTGAAAGCTATAAAAGCCAGCCCAAGATTCATTCTTTTTTTTATTTTTGGTCATTAAACATTTAGTAACTAATATAAATAAACATGTGTTTTATTTTTAAAACAATAATACGTTTACGTACAGGCATCCCGCTCTGAGAGAAAAAAATAATGGTCACGTTCTTTATATTGCATTATCATTGACCGACATCATTGCATTAGCATGTAAATGTGCTTCACTGACCCACGTTATACCGTCATTTGGTTATTTTCCTTATTACCTACGGTAGGAAGTACTACTAAATAGTATTATAACATTTCTCTGTTCTTTAGTTCATGTTATTTTTTTTATTCAACATCATCTTATAAAGGACCGCTCTGTTAGACACAATTTATTTTACATGTTTAAATTAGTAGTAACGAGGTCATACACAAAAAGGGAAGAAAGGGTGTTCCGGCTACTTCAAATGAATTTAAACATATTGTCTAGATTCAATTGTCTAGATTATATTATTTGACCATGAAAACTATGTAATACTTATTGAGGACCATTTGCATCTAAGTGATATCATTACATTTCTTTCAACTATATGAAACAAAAAATACCTCGTCCTGTAGACTGTTCGGATGCCGAATGTGAAAGTTTGAAAAACAGTTAAAAATACATAAATCTGCATAAATGAACTTACTTTTGTTTTGTGTTAGCTGTCATATAAAATTCAATACATTCAAGGTAAGGCAAGCGATCTATATTTTTTGTTAAAGATTTTTAACCTTTACAATTGTCGTTCACAAATTTTAGATCCCCTCCTGTAGACAGGGCTGGGCTGTATTTCAATTACTTGTAATTGAAATAACGTATTTCAATTACTTGTAATTGAAATACGTATTTAAAATACAAATACGTATTTTGTGTTTGTATTACCTACTCCTTAAAAATGTATTTTGTAATTGGTATTTCAAATATCTGACCGTAATGTATTTTGTAATTTGTATTTCAAATGCTTTCGTTGTAGAATACCTTTCAACAATTTACTTTTTTTTCAATGAACAGCCTATTATGTGACGTGCGTAGTTATATGATATTGAACTCAATTGTGACGTGCGTGCGTGCGGGCGGGCGGTTTTCGGACAATTGGGTGGGCTTCGGGCGGTTGGGCGGGCTATCGGGCATGCGTTCGTGTGTGCGTGTGTGCGTGCGTGTGTGCGTACGTGCGTGTGTGTGTGTGCAACACTGCATAGTAATATCAAAGACGTCAAAGTAATCTTTTCGCGGTTATAACTTAGAGTAGTTTTAACCCGGACACTGGCTGAATTGTCCTTAGTGGGACAGAAGCCAAAACAACAAAAACTTTAATATTAGTTTAAGAGTTATAACGGCATTGTGAATTTGTGATTTTAGTGAACCATCTTTCTAATTGGTGTTGTGAACGTATTATGAGCGGCATTTACATATAAATATTCGTCTTGTATATAAAGTATATATATATGTATATGTATATAATGTATTCGTCTTGTATGGTAAAGTTAATAATAATTGTAAGTACTACGTGCTCTGTACTGTGGTTGTATTGATTGGTTTAACAATTTTTTTTCTAGTAAAACTGAATAATTTAAAACTGTAACAAACCTACTTTATGTAATAGACGGCCTTAAGTCAGATTGTTCACTTTTAGTTCTCTAAGAATCCGCTAGATGGCATTGACGTTGGCATTGAAGTTGTGTCTATGCTGGGATATTGGTACAGCAATCAGAAGAATACTGTCAAGTAGGCAGGTACGCACTCGGAAGTATACGGGTTGGAATGTGAGGTGAGACAGGGAGGGTTGAGTTCACCGCGCCTTTTCAATCTGTATATGTACCGTTTCATCGGAGGGCTCAGTGGCACTGGCATCGGTTGCCATATCGATGGAGACTGTATAAATAATATCATCTATGCTGATGATATGGTGCTACTGAGCTCTTCGATTAGTGCCCTCCGTAGATTGTTGCGTATATGTGGGTTGTATGCAGAGACCCATGGACTTAGGTACAACGCAAAAAAGAGCGTGCTTATGATTTTCAAGGCAGGCACTAAATCGTATTCTGTTGTGCCTCCGGTTAAACTTGCTGATATTCCCTTACAAAAGTGGAACGGATCTAATATGAGATCGCATGTGGTTAACGTGACCCGGTCCATACCACAGGGGAGCGTGATTGGATGCATATTGTTTCTAATATACATTAATGATCTACCCAAAGCACTAAACTCAACAAGCATTTTATTTGCGGATGACCTGTCTGTGGTCTTTTCATGTACAGATGGAAAAGATTTAAATGTTAATATTAATGATATACTCAGTAATGTAAAGAGATTTTAGTTTTTCTAATGTTCAGTTTTTGCGTTTGACCCTTAGAGGATGGAAAAAATAAAGGAAAGGAGCTGTCCTATCTACGGAATAATCGTACCTACCTAAACCAAAATTGTATCACACATACGGCGGATTTAATGTTGTACCATAATAACATCTAAATGTATGGCTTGAATGTTGAAACTGTTTTTTATGTTTGAAAATTTGTATAGTTTACTGTAATCAAAGTATGATTAATACTAGGCTATTATTACTAGGCAAGTAACGAGCCATTTTAATCAAAATTAAATATAAAGTTATTTACCAGTAAATGTAACGATGGAATTACATTATCATGTAATCCAGTTACATTCAATTAAAATTTAACTCTTTAAAATGGAGCGAACAAACGAAGATGGTATTTGATCCAATGTTTATGTTCGGCAGTCCTATAATTTCCAACCATTCTTTCTTTCGTTTTTCATTTGTAGGTAAACTTTAAAAATAATAAAAATCCTGTACTGTATTAATAACAGAATATCGATAATATGTCTGCTTACAAGAACAACAATATGTCAAAATAATCGTTATCAACAATCATCAAAATATACCTAGTAACAAATAGGCAATCTAAAGCAACCAAAGCAAAATTAAGCAAGACTTATGAATAAACTACTTAAATGAGTCTAATTACATGAGAAATTTTGGCTATTGTATGATTTATAGGCAGAATAATAACTCATGCCGGTGTAATATAGCATTCGGTTGATTTCCGCTTTTTCTACTGCTGCACCCCTTAATGCTGCAGCGACGCATTTTCATCAATATTTAATTGTTCCCACTATCAATATTTTTGTCCATTTCATTACAATTCATGCGAATAATTCACTAATACATTTGACCAAACATTGGTTTTGACATTTGATGTACTTCCCTTTGACAACCGGAAACGGTTATCAAAGGGTACTACAAAAAAAGCTAAATGTTGGCATTTAAGATGACGTTTACGTATTTTCGATTCCCGTGTTTGACATAAATCAATGTAGTGCTATCTCTTTTGGCTTACGACGGCACGCAGTAGTTAAACAAAGACAATAAAATGTTTATGTTTTCAACGTCTAAATTCATCATATAGGTACATATAACGTCTGATTTATACTTAGAGGATGAGTTTCCATAGTCTAAGGATTTATATATGTCAATATAACATGTCCTTTGTTTTCCATCATACCAATAAATGGACGTCGTGTTCGCGTTAAAAAGTGTCCGCACCTGTAGGGCATTAAAATCGCATACAGAGCGTCAATCGCGCAACAGTCTCCGTTTGTTCGACTGGCAGCGCGGTTGTCAATCATGCAGTACCATTGAATAATAACTTGTAAAAATTACTGCAGTAAAGTGTAAAAACAGGATTTTGTATCATATTTTCACTAAACAAATATATTGTGCTATCATAGTTCTCATTTAAAAGTGTTATTTTATTCAGTTTTATAGTATTTAATTTATATATAAATAAGACGTAAATATAAATTACAAAAGCACACAAAATAATCAAATAGCTAAACTGTCCTTTTTCTACACATTGCATGCGCAAAAGATGGAAAGATACCCATTAGGTACGTCAATTTCAAGAAACTTATATAAACTTCTTGGTCATTTGATTGAATGATTTTTTTATTAAACGTTAGCAATAACTATTATAACAAAACATTGTTGTACTCGTTTTACGGCTAGGGATTACCTATCAGAAGTCAGAAAATACATTTGCCCGAAATAACGTTAGCTCGAGTCTTAGACTATGGAAATATGGAATATGGAATATTTCCATCCTCTAAGACTCGAGTTTTCATAATGTCAAATGTATTTTTTTAGGAATAATTACAAAACAAAAAATTCTCACAGGACATTGGCGAAATCGCCATTTTTTTTGTATAATTTTTATAATAATATTAAACTACCGTACATAGTTATTTTTACTTGACATTGGCAAAATCATTGATTATTTCGATGGAGCCATAACATTTAAAAGAAGAAGAAGAAAACAAAAGTTAATTTTGGCTTTGTGAGAAGCATCAAAATTACTTCAAAACGCATTGATTCCATAGTCTGTTTGACCCAACT